GCCGAGGCATATGCCTTCGGCTCGACTGAGCCGCTCGGCCAACTTCAGGAGCTGTACGGGCTATAGTGAATAGCCCATACAGCAGCCCTTCGGTTCTGCTGAACCGAAGGGGTCCTGGGGCCGAAAATAGCCGAAGGATCAGCTGAAGCTACGGCTAGATCATTCGGCAGCTTAGTGAATAGACCCCCTATGTATGCACCTTTTTAGAAAACACCCATCAGACAGGTTAGGAAGCCAGTTTCAAACGATATTGTTACCACTTAAGATAATTGGCACTGGCAGTATCTATCAACATGTCCACTTTCCACTTCCCATCTACAATAAAAAGCAAAACACTTTGCAAAAGACACAGGTGCCAGAGAATAGTTGGAGTAAGTTTACAAGTCCAGTCACCTTCTAATGTCTATAGGAACTTTAAAACTAAATATTGTTCCTATTTCCTATGGTCTGTTTTTCTATGATACATTTCATATAATACAATATGTAATAACAATTTGTTTTTTTTTGTTCTAGGAGATTAGTGTGTGGCAACAACACAATTGAGGTGGAAGTTGCTCCATTATGGAAACTATTTATTTATAAGGTAATCAAAAAATCAAATACGAAGCTACACTGTATAATGCATCAACATTTTTACTTTAAACTGATTTGCAGGGAATTATCCATATATTTATGATAAAAATAGCCAGTTACAATGCACATTGGTAAAGGTAGGGACAAGATAAAGGCCAGACTTATGATTAGACACAGTAGGCACATGCCAATAGGAAAAGAGGCAGCTTTTCCTTGTATAGATAATAGTCCATCCATGCAGATAGTGTCTTGGTGAGATTTACACCCAAAGCAAGAAGTGGGCATGAGTGGTGCCTTCTGTCATAGTCCTAAGTTTATTTATCTGCCACACGCAGCCAGACTTGCACAATTCCACTGTCATAGTAGGAAAGACAAAAAGCCATAAATAATTTGGTATTTTTTTAGTAGACAGTTGTCCTATCTTCTTAGTGTAATCTTGTGAGAGTGGTAATTTGTCATACAACAGAAGATCCCACACAATGTTTTTATATGGTCATATAATTTGACTGACACATTATTTTATTCTATTGTCTTTGTTGACAGGTGTTGGATATGGTGTACATATACCAGTTCTTTGCCATTACCCTTATGCTAGTTGAGGGATATCTTGGTTATGCTGTAGCCATTTTGGTTCTATGTACCCTTAATATAACTTTATCAATTGTTGAACTCCGTAAGGTAAGTTGTTTAAATACTTTATATGCCTAAATGATCCACCTTTTAAATAATATTGTGTACTGTACCAATCATCATCATCATCTTTTTAATCAGTAATGAGTGACACAGCTTGCCCCCCTAGAGTAGGAATTTTGGCAGACAGTGGTATAACAATCAGTGTGAAAATAACACAGACCCAGTACTGTATAATTAAGGTGGTACTTAAACTCTAGTTTTTTTTGTATATTACTCTACTGCCAGCAAGCAGTATAGCATGTCCAACATTTAAAAAAGCTGCAGAGTGGCCAAACATTTAAAAACATACCTGTGTCTGTGCCGCCCATTCCCAGCTACACATGTCAGTGTAGGAGATGATGTGTGCTGGCGCATTCACATTTGAGGTTACTGGAGGTTACTGGAGGGGAGAGGAATGAGACAATGTGAGTGAATGTACGCACGCCAGAAGCGAGCACGCAGGGGTTACTCCATGGGACACTGAAAGAAGAAGGAGACACTAAGCACCAGGGAGCAGTACCAGTGCGGAGGTGACTGGAAGAAAGAAGATGTTCATATCAAGAGACATTACATAAGGTAAGTCCTTACAACTTGTTGACGCTGACCCTGAACTCTTGTGAAGTCAACAGTCTAGAAGAGCTGACTTCAGATGCAGAGGCCCCTTGCACACGGGTGGTCTGATTGGGTTCGTCTGTCAGTTTTTCAGGTGGATACGATCAGATGTCCAATGTAAGTCTATGGGCAGCCGTGTGTAAATGGATGGGAATCTGTTCACACCCGGTTACCCCTGACTCCGGCCAGGTCCGTAAAAACAAACTGTTTAGAGATTCCTTTTGCCGGATCATGCTAGGTCAGGGGTAATCTGATGTAAACAGACAGTTCCGTTTACATACAGTTCCCCATAGACAGACATGGGGTCCAGTAATTGCAGCTTTTAACTCCCTTGCAAGATGGAGGAGAAAACTGTACAGATATGGATGTCACAGCAGTGAAATCCGCTCCGTACTGCCGTGATTAGGAGAGGATCCATGTACGGATCCTCTCCTGATCAGCCTGTGTGAAAGGGGCTTTAGCATTACAGATTGATTGCCCTCATTCTGAAATTAACCCTGTATGCCTAATGTGTACGCCTAAGTGGACCTTCACCACCCTTTCACTAAAAATCACATCAGCATGCAGTTCTGCATGCTAAAATGAAATCATCTTACATTCATTAGTTAAACAAACTTTTGCTTTTTATTTACTTACAAATAAAGTTGATCTACTTCCTGGTCCACTTCTGGCACAAATTATGTAAAGTGTTGCATCCTGGGAGGGTTACATCAGCAGAGCATTGCTGGGAAATGTCATCTGTAATCTCATGAAATCTCAGGGAAAGTCATTTTCCTCTCCTGAGATGATGTGCATGGTCACATGTCCTAGTCACAGAGTTCCAGGAAGTAAAGGGGGAGCTTGTATCCTGCCCTTAGTTAACATGGCCGCTGTCAGAAGACTGGGAAATCAGGTATGCAAAGAATAAAAAGCCGGCAATTATCTAGAAGTATCTGTTTGTAGATTGTCATTACTAAACATGTCTAAAGGTGCCTTTCTTGACATTTCAAAGATATGGGTAAAGTTCCTCTTTAATGAGGCTGTAGAAAAAATCTCAGAGTTTCCCCAAGCTAAAAACTGATAAGATAGTAGAGGTTTGTAGTTCTGCAAAAAACAATTAGAGTTTAAAGAAGATTGTGTTAGAAACTAAAAGTTTTCATTAGGATTATAGAGTGATTGTGTGCAGGAGCAATAACGCTTATGTCATAATTAAATTATTGTGATGCTTGTTGTTACTGTTACTACTACAATTTTTTTTCCTGTGCTGGCTACTAGACCATTTCATTCAGCACTCACTTGCTAAAAAAAAAAATCTGGTGAGCTACTGAGGGCAGAGTACCCAATTTTGTGCCAATATTGCCGGATCGGTTTTGAAAACCCATTGTTACCCCTCCACTGTCTCCTGTACTCTTGAAGACCAATCATAGAGTGCAGACACCAATGTGGATTTCCTGTTTTAATGATTCTTAGAGGTTCAGAGATTTTATGGAGAATGGCTCACCACCCTTGTCATTATTTATAGTATAATTTACATATTAAGGCATCATTGGGTAAATTATGTAATTACAAAGAAGTCATGCCATATTTCCCAGTAAAGAGATATGTCTTATTGTGCAAATTGCATGATAATGAAAGATGGAGAGGGCGTTCTCAACCCATAATGTTCTTCTTTCTGTCATGTAAAAACTTTGGGTTTCTTTAATCTCTGATACTTGGTTAGAGACTGAGGGGGCAGTGAGATGGTCAAAGAGTAAAGTTAAAGGAATGAACTGAACCCCTATTTCAGGTTAGCTCTAGAGATGGGAGGGGTGATTTATTTTAAATAATACATAAAACAGATGCAAAAAAGACAAATAAAGAAAATACAGCAAGTATCCAACCCTGCTAATTGGATCACAGGGCTGGAATCAGTGGACTGTTGACTAAGTAGATTTTGTAAAAGATACTCATCTCTAGTAATAATATCCATAAGAATAATAGTACCAACAGCAACAATACAATGTCATTGTTGCAATTAATATTTTTTAATATTGTTATAGCTATCTACAAAGCTCCACAATCTGGTCAAAGCTCATAACAACATGAAATGTACTGTCTATGAAAGAAATGGAGGTATGTCATTTGATTTCTTATTACCGGTAGTAATAATGTTGTATAATGTATATAGTTGTCACATTTAATAATAAGAGTCTTCTTTATTCACTTTAAGTTAAGTATATGACATTGTGCTTTGGTACTAGCATATCTGCTTCATTCTTATACGCACAATTTCTAAATACATGAAATGTGAAATAAAAGCCCCACAACGTGGGATTAATTTACTAAGGGGAATAGGCTGTTCACTTTGCAAGGGAATTTCACCATAGCTTAGTGAATGTGATGAAAATTCAGTGTGCAAAGAATACCCAATCACGTGCAAGGGAAAAAAAACAGCACTTTTGCTTGCATATGATTGGATGATGGAAGTCAGCAGAGCTTAACATCATTTACTTAAGGGTCTATTCACTAAGCTGCCGTAGGCTGCTGTTCGGCTATTCACTTCAGGCTGGTACGGCTGATTTCAGACGTATATCGGCTGAAACCAGCCGTACATCGACTTGCTTCGCATGGCTTTAGTTCGGCTGAACATGCTCAGCATGTTCGGCTGACCCGAAGTGCAGAAGGAGTTCAACTCAGCCGATCCAACATCTGGATCGGCTGAGCCGAACCTCCGGCAGGCTACTCACTGCTGTTCGGAGCCGTGTCAGAACAGAAAAAAAAATGTTTTTGCATCTGGATCGGCTGAGCCGAACTCCTATTGGCTATTTCAATTTGCAATAGCCAATAGTAAACTAGCATAGTACCCGCCCTCTGCTGATGGACCTGATGTAGAACTGCAGCAGAGGGCGGGTACAATGCTAGTTTACTATTTACGCCCTCTTCTCTAGTTTTTACCATGTAGTGGGTGGGCCTGCTGGGTCCCTCATACTACCCTGCTCTATCTCTGCGCAGACTATTGTGCAGCCCAGTGATGGTGTCAATGCAATTTTAAAAAGTAATAACTGGGTTTTTGGCATTTGGTGCACACAAAGTGAATTTATATCCTTTGTGGCTACTGAGAAACATATTTTAATGATTTTTTTTGCCCAAAGTTCAACTTTAGTATACAATGCCAATCACTCATTCCTGCTTTGCTCATTGTATGTTGGTGAAACTGTAGTAGTATCAATATCTAGGGTTGGCTAAATGCATAGCAAGAAGACATGTTATCCGCTAAAGCTTTTCCAAACCCAAAACACAAAAACTTAGAATAAATCAGCTTACTAGGCCTTAGAAGTAGTGAGTGCATCAGTTGTCTTTTTCAGTCTTTTTTTATTTGCCTTTGCTCATCTTCTTGTGGTGGTGGACTGAGGAGATTATTAGTTTACAGAAGATAGATAACATTGCATTTACTTCCAGTTCATATTTCTGGCAAGGTCCACAGGTATTTTCTGAAAATGTTCTAAGCCTGAAAAATGAAAACTAACGCAGCCACTGCATATAATGCCTGGGGAACTGCAATTTATAAACTTTTTGTCCATGGGTTAAGTTATCCTTTAATTTAAAGGGTCAGTCCATCAAAAACTTAGAGGGTTATTCACAAAAGGAGCCGAAGGATCCAACGGTAGCTTCGGCTGATCTTGGGCTTGCTTCAGCCTCCTGTGCCCTTTGTCTGAATAGCCCTTACAGCAGCCCAAGGCAGCCGAGTGTCTCAGCCAAGCCGAACGAATATGCTTCGGCTCGGCTGAGCCATAGTGACAAGCGAAGAGGGGAGAAAGGTCGGCCGAAGCCGACCGATCTCCCCGCGAAAGACAACAGCTGGGTGGAGCCAGCTGTAATGTCATGACTGGCTCTGCTCAGATGTTATCCTTCAATGACAGCCCAGCTGTTTTTTTTATTTTAATAAAACACTTGTCAAAAACATGTATTTTGATTTTTTCAATTAAAAGATTTTTTCTAAAGTGTGGCATCTTTTTTTACTATTTTACTTTAAGTCTTTAGTGAATGGGTAGTGGTACAAGTACCCCTTACTCATTCACAAGGGGGGCGCATCTGGGTGCCCCATTATCAAAGGCCTACCCCTATGAGAATATGCCCCCATGCCGGCACCCCCACAACCAACACCCAAGGGTTTGTGGGGAAGAGGCCCTTAACACCCTCCCAGTGCCGAGGGCATATGGCCTTGTATGGCAGGGGGGGCGTTCGCTCATCCCCCCTTTTCCTATCCTGCCAGGTCTGTGCTCGGATCAAGGGTCTGGTTTGGAATTTTAGGGGGGACCCCATGTCTTTTTTTATCCATTTTTGGGGGTGGGGTTCCTCCTAAAATTTCTACCAGACCTAAAGGGCCTGGTAAGACTTTTGGAGAACCCCACACTTTTTTTTTTAAATGGGGTCCCTTCTAACTTTTCAACCAAACCTAAAGGATCTGGTATGGTTTGGGAGGGGACCCCATTCTTTTTTTTTTTTTTCTTTAAGATTTTTAACATTATTTTCTTGTTTTAAATTTTCCTATTTTTTTACATTTATTTAAATAAATGTAAAAAAATTTCAATTTTTTAAAGTTTTTTTCAATTCTGCTTGCTACCTCAGAGGTAGCAAGCAGAGTAGCCCAGCTGAATGACGCTCGGCATTTGGTTATTCACTCACTGCCGTTCGGCCCCAGGAGAATAGGGGCCAACGACAGCGAGTGAGCTACCGGAGCATCGGCTCAGCCGATCCAGATGTTGGATCGGCTGAGGCAAACTCCTTCTGCCGATGTATGGCTGATTTTAGCCCATGTACATCTGAAATCAGCCGTACAAAACTTAAGTGAATAGCTGAACTGCATTCACCCCACTTTACTTCGGCTGGGTTATTCACTCGGCTGCCTTTGGCAGCTTTGTGAATAACACTTTTATATTATAGTTTTTGAAAATTCCTGCTTGACCCATGGGTCCATTGTCATTGTCCAGGAACTGGCTGGATAACCTTTAGCTTGTAATGTTTGTTACCACTGGACTAAAAATGAGTACATAGTGTGTGTGTGTGTGTACGAGCAGCGTTATTTCGGTCTACTGTAAGTCAGTGTGAGTGTGGCAGTTGCTATCTAAAGCTTCTTACACGGATATTTTATTTCCCTTGAATATAATTTCTTAGTTCAGATTCTGCTAAACCTCACCAATGAACACACCCTGTATTAACGTATGTCTGAACTTTCACACTGTTTATTGAAGCCCTCCGAAATATATAAAATACATGTAAAAATGTATAGAAGACATGTCCAATTAATTTTTGATTGCCATGCTTTTGAGGAGCCATTCCTGTAACGAATACATAGCTAATTCATATCTGTCCTGTGTGTATTTCCAGACTACAGCCAAGTTGAATCTCGCCATTTAGTTCCAGGGGATGTTATTGTTTTAACTGGCAAGAATTTTTTTATGTCATGTGATGCAATTTTAATCAATGGGACATGTGTTGTGAATGAGGGAATGTTAACAGGTAAGGTATAACCTACCCTTTTATATATTAACAGTTGACCAAAAAGAGAACATAACCACATGTACACTGTTTCCAGATTTTGCACATAACTGTATCAAGTAGTAGTAGATGTGCAACAGTAGAGGTTTGGACTTCCAAAAGTGGAAGATGAGCCCAGGATCTCTACTTCTGCACATCTTGTCTAAACCCTCAATCCTTCTTAGGAAAGATCCTTAGAGATGAAGATGAGCTCCACAATTTGGGAAGCTACGTAAGAAGGAATTGATCAACGCTTAGCACCTCCAGGTTCAGATCTTTGGTGTGCGAGTTCCCTAAGCTGGCCCAGATGCAGGTACACTTTCCAATCTGTTGGACACAGAGGAAGCACCAGTGGTCTAATAGACCTCTAATACCTCTATAAAGAGAAACGTTTACCACAGTAAAAAAAAAGTTGCAAAGTAATAAAAACAAGTATTCTATCCTTAGGGCCGTCCCTACCCTGTATGGCGCCTGAAGCTGTAGAGCGGGAAGGAAGGGAGAAGGGGTGCAGGATGTCGTCAGATGCAGTGGGGCTGTGTTTGAGCTGTCCGATCTGTTCAATCCCACCCAGCTCACTAAGGTCACTGGTTGTCAGGACCACGGCGTCACACCAAATTGTCCCGCTCAGCTCCCTGCCAGCCGATGATGTCTGTGAGTTGGGTGGGACAAAGCGGACAGAACATCAAAGGTTGCTAAGAGCTCTTAGTAACCTGGAACACTCTGGCTGCCCCTCTATCACCTCCCAACAACTGCTGCCCCCTGCCATCTCAGGCTGCCTCATTATAGGGGCGACCCTGCCTAACCTTTCCGTTTACACTTTCCATTCCTTGTTCCACTATGTCTTACATGCCCTGTCTGCCAATTGCATACTCTGCCATAGCTTTCTTTTCCTACCACCTCTCCCAAATATTATGCCTGCTGCCAAAACCTCCGCACCCCTCTCACTTATTTTCCACTGTCATACTGTCCGTACTAGTTCATGTGCAAATTGCTCATAGTCATACCAGCCATACTCCTCTCCTGCACATAATGGCCCCTGTCACACCCTCTACACCCCTCTCCTGGACATACTCGTCCTTGTTATACCCTCATCTCCTGCAGGCAGTTCCTATGATCATGTTTCTTCTCTGCACATGCTGACCCCTATCATACCCTTCACAATGATCTCCTGCAAGTACTACATTTCTTCAGCATTGGTTGTAATATCCCCAACATGTACTTTTACAGGTCTTCATTGAAGAAAGCATTGTGCTAAACTTTGTGTGCATGTGGGGTTCAGACACACATTTTGTTACTGGCTTTGGGCTCATATGTAAACAATTTGGCTTGTGCAGGCTTTGTAACAAGACCAGCTAACGCCCATATGGACCATTCTGTTCACAGACTTTAGACCCAGTGTGCACTAATTGCATGTAAGACCTGCGGGGTTTCAGTAGTACACTTAAATTTAATTTTGTTTGACATCAATTAGGAGAATCTATCCCGGTAACAAAAACCCAGCTGCCACACCTAGATAAAATAATGCCATGGAAACAGTACAGCGGAGAAGATTATAAACGGCATATTCTGTTCTGTGGAACTGAAGTAATACGGACTGAATCCACTGCACAGGGCCCAGCCAAAGTTGTGGTTTTAAGGACAGGTGAGCTAAATAGATAAGTGTATATTTTCAGAAAATAATCATGTTTTTCTTTTCATAATAATGAGTCAATAAACAGTTCCCTACAGTCAGCAGTGCAACTACTGGGTCACAACCTATTTAAACTCCAGGCCGAGATTGTATTGACCCTCCCAGTGGGGCTACCCCTGCACTGCAAGAGTTAACTGCTCATTTTGCCTAAAGAAAAAAAAAAGTTATACTCACCCAATCCTCAGTCCCGACAGTGCTCCCACAAACCTTTCTCCTCCTCTGCTGCTGAGATGGCATGTCCCTTGGCATCCTCACCTCCAATACACTGTATTAGATGTGATGACTCGAGGATTCCTAGACCACCGCAAATGGGGGGAGAGATGCTCCGGAGGCAGGTCTAAGAGATAGAGTATACCCTTTTTTTTTTTACTTTAGGCAAAAATGAGCGGTTAACCCTTGTAGTATGGGGGGTGGCCCACTGCAGGGGTTAATCAAATTTCTGTGCAGAGTTTTTCTTTAAACTTTGGTTTGAAACTGTTTTTTTTTTAATTATAGGTTTTAATACAACTAAAGGGGACATGGTGAGATCCATATTATATCCAAAACCATTAAACTTTAAATTACACAGAGATGTAAGATGGTTCTACAGATTTCTGGCATTTCTGGCCATCATTGGAATCATCTATGCGGTTACAATATATGTACAAAGAAAGGTAATATATATAAATGCATCATTTGTACTTTTCCTGCTTATTCTGCTACTGTTAAAGCTGAAATCCTGACAAATACACATTAATGCAGCTCTGTATTAATTACTACGTCAGTAATAGAATGTATTAAATGCAAGCAGTACCGGACTTAATTTGCTTTGTATCAGCCTCCTGCAGGGCACTGTACAGTCTATACAGCACATCTCAGAGATGGGAAGGAGAAGCAGCACAAAGAGCCAGTCCTTTGTGCTGCAGTGCAAAAAGCATGGTGATAGAAGGAGAGAACCGAGTGATATAGAGATAAGCTCATCAGTGTGATGCTTTTTTTTTTACTTTCCATTCACAGGGTGGGGTGGGGAGGAGACCTTTAGGTGCAAGTGAAGCTTCAGAAAGCAGAGAAATATCAGGTCATCAGGTCAGGTCCCCTTATAGACAGCGCTGTGCTGTGTGGCAGAGCTTTGCAAATCTCAGGACGGGGGGACTGGGGGACCGAAATACAAATATTTTGGCAAATAAAACAGATCTATTTTTTTATTTATGTATTTAACTGTTTGTCTGGAGCTCAGCTTTAGTCTTGTGATACATTTAGGTGGCCACACACATTACATTTGATCCAAATATTATTGCAAATGTGATTGTACAATCAGATTGCAAATCATTTGGATAGTTTTAAAGTTAAAAGGTAAATTATGTTTAACAAAATGACGTGATATTCTTTGCTATGCAATCACAGACATCTCAACTCTCCCGAATGTTCCGAGAGTCTCCCGCTATTAGATAGCAGCTCCCTGACACCCGAGTGAGAAACATTTTCTCCCTGAAAGGTTTACTCTGCTAGCAAAAAAAACAGAGCACTGAAAGGTTTACTCTGCTAGCAGAGTAAACTTTTCTGTGCTCGGTTTTTTTTTCTTGACATCGGGGCCGCCGTCATTCAGAAAAAAAAATGACATAGGAACGAATAGCTAGATTGCTATTGGCTATTGCAAACTGAAATAGCCAATAGCAGACTAACTATTGCACCCGCCCACTGCTGCTGTCAATCAGCAGAGGTGGACCTGAAGTTCTCCATCAGTTCCTCCTTTACTGACTGACAGAAGCAGAGGGTGGGTGCGATAGCCAGCTTGCTATTGCACATTGAACTAGCCAATAGCAATCTAGCTATTCATTCCTATTTTTTTTTAAATTATTCTGATGGCATTAGCTGTCAGAATACTAAAAAAAAAAAAACAGCTATTGCTTCCCGTGCTATCTGCCATAATTTCATTCAGGGGGGTGCTCTCTCCCCACCCCTGCGGATGGGGGGGTAGGGGGGGCAGAGGCACCTCCCTGAAATAAGAAGGGCACCTCCCTGAAATTGCTTTTTTCAGGTTGAGATCCCTGCAATCACTTTTACATGACGCCTACACATTGGAAAGCCCAGAATAACATACACTAGATTGACAGCTGAAAAGCTTTAAAACGGCACGAATGGCCACTATTCCTGTGCCATTTTAAAAGGGCAATTGGGACTCAAGTGGTTAATCCTTGAAGTGACACTAAACTCAGGAGTTAAATCTTAAAAATCCATTCAAGTCCCTTAAATATTAACAAAAATGTATCTTATTTGTGTACCACTCAGCTGTAGATCCTCAAATCATCTCTGAATTGGTGCTGACACTGTCCTTCCCCATGGTCCCTGTGTGTGTTGTAAAGTAGCCACCACTCCAAGCTCACTCCCGTGATTAACTACAATCTCAATACAAGTTAGTAAACTAAACATGAGATTGCAGTCCTTCACAGGAGCTTGGAGCGGTGGCTACTTTTTCAACAAGTTTAGTGTCACTTTAAAACAATCGAACATATAATTTGCAAGACAAAGTAACATGTTTACTTTTAATTTCCTCATTTACCTCATTTACCTCCTTTCTTTTCCTCCCCTGACACTGTTATTAGCCATTGTAGCTACACAACATTTTACATTATTTAGATTCACTATCACACTTTTTCTGATTTTATAGTAGTTTTATTTCAGACTGGTAGATGATAACAGTAATTGACATGGCAATTAATATTAATAGGTACCTGCAGGGAGAATTATTGTGGAGGCCATGGTTCTCATAATCTGTGCCGTATCCCCAGTTATTCCGGCTGCTTTGATGGTTGGGATTCTTTATGCTAAAAGGAGACTAAGAAAGAAACGGATATACTGCGTCAGTCCAGACAGAATCAATATGTGCGGCCAAATCAATCTTTTCTGCTTCGATAAGGCAAGTTTTTATTTTCCAGCTTTGCACTGAAATAATCTAAAGTGAACATTATTAGTTAAATCATGCAGTGCAGTCCTAAATACTTGCTCAGCTTTTGGCTGAGCAAGTACTTTTTCATGCAATTGTATATTATGAAACAGTAAATTGAAATATGATGCATGCAGATGATTCATCATTTCCCAATGAGCTATTAGCAATTAGCATTTGTATCAAGACAATTCATGTTTTATGCTGCCGGTGCTGCTTTTGGTGCTTTATTACTTCTTCCTCATTCCTCTGCTATACAAATATACAATATTTTAACAGCTAAGTGACTTTTCCACACATCTATACTTTGATGACTGCACTTGAAAGATTTGATTGGTAAGCCAAAAGTTTGGGTTATGCATATAACTATAGAAGTGGTCATATCGTGGTCATTGGTCACATAATGGAGTTCATAGACAGTATATTAAAGTGTATACAGGACAGTACCAATGCCATGTAGTGCATAGACTTGTTATACTACTAATACTGAATAAGAAAAGCCTACTCCAAAATTAAAAGTAATAAAAGGTAAAAAAGATCATAAGTATAACCATAAAAAGCCACTTCAAATGGTAAAAAGTTGTAGAGAAAGTCCAGTCTTGCAGCTTCAGTGAAAGTACAGGGGGAAGCACTCACTGGAACTAGAAAATATGAGCACAAAAGCGCACTGGCATAATATAGTAATTTGAACTTGATTGTAAATATTTAAATTAAATTAAATCACTAACAAATGTGGATCTTGAGTCGCTGAAAAACAAACAAAAAGAGAGAAGCGACTTCAGAATATTCCAACTGTACCTGGAACCATGGAGATGGAGTGCATTGGTGCACATACAGTATGGTGCACATCTGGTCACTGCTTTACTGATCCTCCTTCCAGTAATTTCTCTTTACTGTTGAGCAGTATGGAGATGTGGCTATTTATAGAACATTTCAGTCTTTAAAAAATGAAACTTACGAGCAAGAAATTTCTATGAGTCCGCACATAGGTTTTGTTTTTTGGTGACTCAAATGTTCTATAAATAGCCACATCTCCATACTGTGCATAGGTTGATGAAGAGGAAGGGTAGTCCTTAAAATGCATCTCTAGCAACAGTAACTTGTTGTGAGCACCGATGTGAGAGGAAATGGAAATTGCTAGAAGGAGAATCGGTACACAGCAGCGTCGAAATGTGTGTCAAACATGCACCAACACATGCATATGCTCCTTCTCCATGGTTCCAGGTGCAGTTGCAATAATCTGAAGTGCAGCTGTGGTGTTCCAGCTTCCTCCCTGCACTTCTCTCCTCTTCTTTGTTTTGCAGTCACTCAAGATCCACACTTGTGAGTGAATTCATTTTATTTACATATTCCTAAAAAGTTTGAATTACTACACTATGCTTGTGCACTTTTGTGCTTATATTTTCTATAATACTTTGTATAAACGACACCACTACTGGCAAGCACATGCAGTGATTGGATGACTTTCTCCCCCTGGCTCATAGACACCAAAAAGCTGAACTCCACTACACTTTTTGTTGAACTGCAGCAGGTTTAATTGATTAAATCAGACTGGATATGTCAGACAGTAATTGCAAATTAGGTCAGACAGACATTCTCTCTACAGTGACTCTGCTACCTACAGTATATGATATTGACCCTTAGCAAATCACAGTAAAATTGGCAACCAAAATACAGTCTCACTACTGCACCAGAATAGAATAACTAACCCTGCAGCTTACTACATGCATTATACCACATGTTTTTGTAGAAATTGGATATAAATGCATCAATGAAATACATTCCTAGTATCTAAAACTATTTCTTAAATGACACTGCCACTAAGATAAAATAACATACAGTAAGCTAGTATAAAGCTTGCTGTGTTGCTCGATCCCATAGATGTAGCATGGCTTGCCATGGCTGTAGTTACTCCTTGTACCGATCAGGCCTCTGCATGGCAGCATCAGCAATCTATCATTTTATACCTAATCATAATCTGATCATGAGATATTGATCAGCCACTAGCTGTAGCAATTGGTCCAGCTTATTCAACTCTTACGCCACATCTTACTGATATGGCCATTAGGTAACTAAGTGAGGCACTGGATCATACAGAAACAATAAGAAGGAGAGAGTGCAGCAAACTAGTGCATTATCAGGGTGACACAGATATGTATAAAGAAAGGACAATATTTGCACATATAAAGAATGCTATCAGAAGGCTATCAGCTGGTTACTACTTAAAACGGCGCACGCTGTGTGCAGCTTCTGAGAAGATACGCTATTAGCGTAGCGCGAGCGATGCAAAATGCACAGCCGGCTTCCTCACTACGCTAATTGCGAATCTTCTCAGAAGCTGCACACAGCGTGCGCGTTTTAAGTAGTAACCAGCATGCTCTGTATGCAACTTTTAACAGCGCGGGAGACGGGAGGCCGTGCTTGTCGGTGGATCCCGGGATCAGGTGAGTATTAAAAAAAAAAAAATTGGTTTATTTTATGTT